CGCCTCTAAAAGTTATTATTGATTAACTTAATTAATATAATTTAAATTATTAATAATTAAGTAAATTAATTAAATAAACAATTGTATAATTAGTGCATAAATTAATAATATAATTTAACTTAATTGAATGATTAGTAATTAAATATTAATATAATTAGCTTAATTAATATAACTTAAAATATATATCATTAAATATATAATTAATAGTGTAAATAATAATTAATGAGTAACTTGTACTTAATATTTTATTAAATTCATGACACATTAATTTTTATTTTTAGTTATAAATTTATTTTTTTATTTATATAAATCCTGAAATATGTTTCTTAACAATTTATGAGGATTTAACAGGATTTAATATTTGTCATACCAAACAGTTTTCGAGATTTAACACCCCCAGTATTTATTAAATTTAGATTTACAGGATTTACTAAATCCCACTTGTTGCCAAATTGCCCCTAAGGTTTTAATTAGGATAGTTTTTTTACTGTTTTAACTTTTTTAAAGTTGCAACCATAATTCTATTTCACCCATATATTTTTTTCTGCTCTCAAAAAACTTTTGTACTAGAAAGTTATTTTATGAAATAGCTTTAAAAGTTATTTTATCTACACTAACTTTACAAAGAAATAAGAATGTTATCCCAAACAAAGCTTAAGGCTTCATTTGAGACCGCTTTCTTACTTCTTCATAAAACAGCTTTCGCTTTCTAGTGCAAAAATGTTAATTTTTATACTAATAAGCTGCTTTAAGAAGCAATAAAAAAGTCGTCTCAAACAAAACCTAAGTTATAATGCCACTGTTCTTGATGCGTCGTCATGAAATCATCTTGACCAGGCACGAATCTCGAGGCAAAAGCCAATCAGAAAACTTCAAAAATTAAATCCGAGAGCAATTGACTCCGATTTCAGCGAGCTTACAGTCAAACTAAGCGTCTCAGAAATACGAACCCAACGACACCAAATTCAACTCAATTCGAGTCCAAATGAGTCTGAATCGAAGACTCGAAGTGCTGTTGGAAGGTTCGAATCACAATTTGAGTTACCAAACGGTCTCCGATTTTAATGAGCTTATACTCGAATCGAACGGCTCGACGAGACAAATCCAACGAGCCTAAGATCGCCGAATTTCGACATCACTAAGGTTTTCAAATGTCCAACGAACGGTGGATGATCGAAGGATTCAACATCAATCGTCCATTCGACCACTTCCTATTCGCCCATGATCTCACACCTATTTATAAGCCATGCCACTCCAGAAAAACTATAAATATAGCCCTCATTCTTCACAAGAGGACTCAAGTGAGAAGAGAGAGAAGCCAAAAAAAGAGAAGAAGAGGAGAATCAGCTCCTCCTCGACCACCGCCGAAGTTCTTCACGTCGTCTGAATACGTCGGAATTCTGCCGGATATTTGAGAAACGTCGGGATTTTGCATAACTTTGTTTTAATTCAGGAAAAACTTAGTGTAATCTGATTGTCCTAACTTGTGGGACGAATCAGCTTCTTGTAATTTACGCAACACTAGTGGAACTTTTCAACTGGACGTGGCCCCGTGGTTTTTCCCCTTTTCAAGATTTTTCACGTAAAAATCCTGATGTTCACTTTCGTTTCTGTTTGTATGCTGAATATTCGAACAACGCTCAGACGTAAATTTATAAACTCTACCGAATCGTATATTCTAGCCCGCAACAGTTCTTGATTTTCTTCACCTGATTCTATCGATGCCTCATGCACCTGAGCTCACCTTGGAGCGACCAATCTTCTAAAAAGCTAAGTGCAACACACTCTTCATCCAAAAAATTGTCATAAAACAACTAATCCAAATTTAAATATTTAACAACTTATTAAATGATATCATAAAAAAAAAAAAATTTATCACCGCATTTGATAGCGAGTTATGATGTAGTCATATGGATAATGAGGTCAACAATGCTTCTCTATCTCAATCCGAACTACTGAGAACGCGATCGAATCTGGGTCGCCTTCTTAGACCATATTGCCACGAGTTTAATGAGAAAAACAGAGGAACCCAACACCAGATTAGGGTTGCAGACTTGCAAGTGGCGCTTCAAGAGTGGACAAACAGTAGTTGACCGAACCAATTGAATCATCTCCCTCCCAAAAAATACTCTCTTTCGTTGATTGGGTTCACGAGTTTGGAGAGGAACGGACATCTGCCGTATGCGGACTCGCGATGGTTAATGCGATCAAATGATCAATACACGACACATTTCAGCTTCCCGACAATTCCAAAGCTTGAATCGCGGCAGAAGGTGTCCACTTCTACTGGTCCACATACTTCCTCTATTCGGAACTCATGGGTGTCTCTGATTGATGGAAAAGGCCTTAAAAATCTAATCTTGTTGAGGAAATATTGAGGGAGGAGGAAAGCAGGAGTAGAAGTGGTAATGGAAGAAGAAGGGATCGTAGAGGAAGCGGTGGCAGTGCGACTGCTGCGCTCGGATTCAAGATGGGTTGATGGAAGTGAGGTCGAAAGGGAGGAGAGAAGTACTGGTTTTGTAGGGTTCGAGGAGGAGGCGATTATGCGAAGGAGGTTGCGGAAGAAGACCAAGAGAGTCGACTCATTGAATGTCGAGGCCATGATTATCGCCGGCTCGCACGGGCATCGCAAGGAGGTAAATCTCTTTTAGGTGAAGAGTCCTTTCTTGCGTTCTGGTTGGGGAGTTTGTCCCCCATGGTTTTGTTTGTTTTTTTTCCTCCCACAGATTTTTGTACTCTTCATTGTTTCTTCTTCTTCTTATTGTCGTAATTAGTACTATTTTGGAAATGCGGGATCATCGCTTAATTTGCATTGTTGAGATTTTGCAAAATATTACTATGAGTTTTGCAGGGATGAAGCTGGTGCTGTACTGCTGTACCTAGGTGATATATTTCTGGAACTAAACCTTTGCGGAGTACGCACTAAGCGTTAGAAAGGTGGATTTCGTGGTATCTGCTTTAGTGAAGAACTTATTTTGTGGCTGTGAAAATGGTTTATTACAAGTTTGTCTGGTTGGAAATTCATTTTACTTAACAATTTGCGTCTGTGCTAAAGGAAAACAAAGGATTGGCCTCCTTCGGATGACGATTGATTTGTAATGAAATGACGGGCTAAAGATAATAACACATTTTTAGGTTTACCGGCGCTGAAAGAAAATAAACTTAAAGCAAAAAAGTTTTTGAGGATTCGAACATCAGTCATATTTGTAGGAGAAATTTTTCTGTGTGGAGACCGGACGGCAAGAACCGTCTGGATTTGTTGTTCTTTTATTGCTAATTTGTTATGCTTTTGGTAATTCTCAGTAAAATGACATCAAATATATAATTATGAATGCACTTTTGTTGAGTATTTGCTGCGCTTTTACAAAAATGTCAACAAAAGCACAGCAAATCCGGATGGTTCTCACCGTCTGGTCTCCGCACATAATAATTTCTCTCTTTGTAGCACTTAAAATTGTTTTTTTAATCCCTGCTAACGTGTTTGGGCTTCCAAATTAGACATTGAGGGTGAGGAGTTTTTACTGAAACAAAGAAACTCTAGCATTTTATCTTGAGGGTCCTCTATTCAAGGTTCGGGGTCCTGGCCAAATTCCATATTAGGTCTTTTAGGAAGTTTCTCTCATTCATGACAGAGAGAAGTTCCTAGAAATCAAGACCAGTTAGTAGAAAAGTACACTCATTTATGAAAAGGGAAGTTTCTAGGTGCTTCTTTGGTTGCTTTTATAAAGGAAACCAACTATTCGAAAATGAGGATTTTACTTTCACGGCTCATCTGGCTGTTTGTAAATTAGAAACATGTTTGAAAGAAATGATGATTTCATTTTTCACTCATTATGAGTGTGAAAATGAAAACACTGGTTTTAAGAGAGTTTTGTGAAGGTTTGGAGAGTTTGGAATTAATGCTGGTACTTGCTACATTCAATCAAATGATGGATTTGCAAAAATAATTTTTTTCCTTATATGATTGTGTGGTGTGCGGTCAGTTCATCCAACAACTTATTTTTTCTATGACAAGCCAAACTTTCTCTAGAGACATTCATCCTTTCACCCAACCGTTTATGTACATTATCAGTGGATTTTGCTGGTTTGAGGGAATGTAGGAACTTTCAGTAGGCATTAAGGCCCATATAATAGAATGGCTGCTTTCCTACATCTTTGTGACATTAGCTAGGGATTTTTGCCAAGTTATAAATTTATCGACATATTCATGCCATGCCCTAGTTTTCTTTTTGAGCAGCTTCGTGATTTTTACAGCATTTCTCTGTTTCCAACATAACATGCTATCTTTTGTCAGACAAATGTATGTGCGATTACTTTCTGCACTTGATTATCATATAGTGTAGTATAGGACTAAAGCCTTTACTTCTCTTTAATTTGGATCAGAATCTTTCAACATGGAGCACGATAGCTATGGCATTTCAAACTCTTGGTGTTGTATATGGTGACATGGGTACAAGTCCTTTATATGTTTTCAGTGATGTTTTCAGCAAGGTTTCCATAAAATCAGAAGTGGATGTGTTAGGAGCATTGTCTTTAGTTCTCTACACAATTGCGCTTATTCCTTTTGCAAAGTATGTGTTTGTAGTGCTGAAGGCTAATGATAATGGAGAAGGTATGAAGTAATGATTTATTGTTTATACTAGTTTTTGAAATAAATAAATTTAAGTCATTGTAATATGTGTATTAACTATGAAAATGTCTCCTTTTTTCATGAGAGCATTATATGACTCATCTTTATTAATCAACTTAAAAATTTTTCTCTGCTGGAACTCCGATTTTATTGGCAGGCGGCACATTTGCTTTGTATTCATTGATTTGTAGGTATGCAAAAGTTAGCCAACTTCCAAATCAGCAGCGCGCTGATGAAGATATTTCTAGTTTTCAGCTAAAACTGCCAACTATCGAGTTAGAAAGAGCTCTTAGAATAAAAGATTGTTTGGAAAGAAATTCTTCTTTCAAAATGCTTCTTTTACTTCTGGTTCTCATGGGTACTTCTATGATTATTGGTGATGGCATTCTTACTCCATCTATGTCAGGTAGCCTGCCCCTTCCAAAAGTACATTATTATCATTTTATATTCAAAATTTCTGTCGTGAGATTGTAAATTTATGTAATGTTCTTGGTGTTTTTCCCCTTCCAGTATTATCTGCAGTTAGTGGCCTACAGGGAGCTATTCCAGGGTTTAATACGGGTTTGTGGCTTTTTGAAGCATTATTTTATGCTGTTTTTTCTATTGTTTTGGAGGCATGGATGATAGTTTGATTTTTCAATTTTTGTAAATCAGCAATCACCGTCTTTTTTCTTTTCTTTTCTTTTTGGTAATTTTTTATGCTTTTCCTTTTGCAGATGCTGTTGTACTTCTTTCCATTGCGATCCTTGTGGTGTTGTTTAGTATACAAAGTTTTGGAACTGGCAAAGTGGGTTTCCTCTTCGCTCCTGCTCTTGCACTTTGGTTCTTTGGTATTGGCTCAATTGGGTTCTACAACATAATTAAGCATGATATTACTGTTCTTAGAGCTTTAAATCCAGTTTATATCTATTTGTTCTTCAAGAGAAATAACTTAGAGGCATGGTCAGCACTTGGGGGAGTTGTCTTGTGCATTACAGGTTCCTTAAATATCTAACTCTTCTGTTATTTTGGGATTATAGTGCTATTTTTACTCTGTTGCTTGTTATGAATAGATGGCTCATTTGTTTGGTTGAAGTTAGAAAATGTGCTTTAAAAAATGGAAAATTTATTAGATTCAGTCATTTGGTTGGATGTATGGGTTTAAACTCCACAAACACATCAAAATTCCACAAAAATGATGATTGCTTTTGCTATTCTCAAAATAAACGAAAATAAAATCATTATTTTTTAAAACATATTTTCTATATACACGCAACTAAATGAGCCTTTGGACCAAATTATTTTGGTTTCCTTTTGTTATTTTACCTTGATTTTTATAAATGATTAATTAACACTGCCGTTGCCAGGTCCCAAGTCCTGGATGAGAAAAGTGGAGGTACCTTGATTTTTATAAATGATTAATAGTTATCATAAAGAGCTTAGTCTATTTTTTAAATTTGTTTCTAAACATAAAATGTTGTTTCTTTGTGCACATGTCCTTTTTGTTCACATCTTTATTGATTGTTCACTTAATTGATTTTTGAAGTAATAGAAAAATCAAGAGAAGCGGAAGGATTACATAGGAAATCAACAAAGGGCTCACTTAGCTAGGAGCATCTTGACATCCAATCCTTGGCTAGGCATGACCACAAGCTGATCTAACGCCCAATGAAGTTCGCATAGTATTGGAAGTTCAAATTCGTAGTTCAATCAAACCCCTCGCTTATATCGATGGTAACTTAGTTAGGCTTGTAAGAAGAAGAAAGGAACATGAACACGAGAAAGGCAGAGAAGAAATAAGAGTATATTATTATGTTTTAGTCTGTGATACAGTAGTCCTTATATAGGCTAAAGAGAGGTAAAACAGTAAATACAATGTGGAGCATAATAAGATAACTTGTACATCCTAATATCCTCCCGCAAATTAATAATTCATGCTGTGAATTGTTAATTTGGAGCGAAGATCGTTGAACCGAGCCGGGGCGAAAGGTTTGGTCAAGATGTCCGCCACTTGATCTTTGGAGGAAATGTGATGAATTTGTATGTTGGCGTTGCTAAGATGTTCCCGGATGAAATGGTAGTCAATTTCGATATGCTTGGTTCGTGCGTGAAATACCGGATTCTTGGCAATGGCAATGACAGATTGATTATCGCAGTGAATTGGAGTTGGTTGAATCTGCGGGAGATGAAGTTCGGACGCTAGTCGGCGAAGCCAGATGACGTCCGAGGTGGCCGCTGAGAGGGAGCGATATTCAGCTTCGGTTGAGGACTTGGCGACGGTAATTTGTTTCTTGACAGACCAGGAGATGAGGTTAGGTCCGAGGAAAGTGCAGAATCCGGAAATGGACTTTCGGTCGGATTTGTCGGATGCCCAATCAGCGTCCGTGTAAGTGCGAAGTTGTAAGTCGCCGGGGATGATCGGAAGACCGTATGAGACGGTCCCTTTGATGTAGCGGAGAAGCCGGGTGAGAGTGAGGTAGTCGTGATCAGTGGGATCCTTCATGTGTTGGCATATTCGGTTAGTGGCAAATGCAATATTTGGGCGTGTAATGGAGAGATATTGAAGAGATCCTGCGATACGGCGATAGAGTGTGGGGTCATGGAAAGGATGGGTGTCAGCTGACGGTGGCGTTGAAGTGGGCGAGAGAGGCGTCGGTACTGCTTTGCAGTCAGCAAATCCGGCGTCATTCAGGATCTTCCGAGCGAAATGAGCTTGTGAGAGGAAGTATCCTGTTTGTGTGTGATGCACTTGAATGCCCAAGAAAAGTGAGATCGGACCCAGTTGCTTTAGAGCGAAGGTGCAGTTGAGATCGTTTAGTAGGGTCTGGACGGCTGTTTGATCATTTCCTGTGACGAGGATGTCATCGACATAGATTAAAAAATAGATATGAATATGCTTGTTAGTAAAAATGAGAAGGGAGGGGTCGGAGCGACTAAACCGGAATCCCTTCGTTTGCAAGAACGATGTGAGCTTTTGGAACCACTGACGAGGTGCTTGCTTGAGGCCGTATAGGGACTTGTGGAGTTTGCAAACAAGATCCGGAGACTTGAGATCGGCAAATCCAGGTGGTTGGCACATGTAGATGTCGTCGGGAAGGTCGCCATGAAGAAAGGCGTTGGAGACATCTAATTGTTGAACATGCCACTTACGGTTGATAGCTATGGCTAGAAGTAAGCGGATTGTAGGCATTTTTGCAACCGGGCTGAACGTTTCACTGTAATTTTCACCTTGCCGTTGGTCGTAGCCTAAAGCGACGAGTCTGGCTTTGTAACGTTCAATTTGACCGTTTGGAAGGGTTTTGGTTTTGAAGGTCCACTTACAGCCGAGTATATGTTTGTTCGGTGGTTTAGGGACAAGCGTCCATGTCCGCTGTTTCTGAAGAGCTGTAAGTTCTTCTTTCATAGCTGAATGCCAGTGAGGAATTTTTATAGCCTGTCTGTAGGAGGTAGGAGTCATGGTAGTTGCGGTGTTGCTGTGGAGCGAGTAGATGGGATTGGGTTTAGAGATGCCGGACTTAGATCTGGTTTGCATCGGGTGACTGGGACGTTCAGGTAGTGTGGGGGGTCTATTGGAGCTGAGAATGTTAGGGGAGTAAGTTGCTGGAGCAGGTTGGAGAATCGTGTGGCTGGTGTTTGAGTGAGTTTGCTGATTTTGAACAGAGGTTTGATTGGGAGTATGTGTTGAAGGGGTAATGGTTGATGTAGGAATAAGAAGAGAAGGTGGAGTTCGGTGGGAGTCGAGAGGTGTAGTCGAAGTGTGAGGTTGATAGGAGGAGTGAAACGGGAAGATGTGTTCGTGAAACATAACGTGCCTGGAGATGTGAATTTGATTTGTGGAGAGGTTGTAGCACCGGTAACCTTTGTGTTGGGTTGAGTAGCCAAGGAAGACACAGTTGGCGGATCGAGGATTAAGTTTGTTGTGATTGTAGGGCTGAAGCCAAGGGTAGCAAAGACTACCAAAGATTCGAAGGTGATCATAAGCCGGTGGTTTGTGGTAAAGGCATTGAAACGGAGAGATGGATCCGGTTGTTGTGGAGGGCAACCGGTTGATGAGGTAAGTTGCGGTGGCTACGGTTTCTGGCCAGAACTGTTGAGGAACCTGTGAGTCGTGTAGAAGAGCCCTGGTGACGTCGAGGATGTGGCGATGCTTCCTTTCGGCGAGGCCGTTTTGTTCTGGAGTGTGGGGGCAGCTGATACGATGTCGTATGCCATGGTTTTGAAGAAAGTTATGGAATTCGGTACCAGTATACTCACCTCCTCCGTCGGATTGCAAAGCTTTGATGTTAGTAGAAAATTGTGTTTGAATCATATTGCATAAAATTTGAAATTTAGAAAATGTTTCATTTTTAGTGCGCAAGAAATAGATCCAAGTAAATCTACTATAATCGTCAGTAAAGAGAACATAGTATCGAAAACCCATCGTAGAGGGTATCGGCGACGGACCCCACACGTCCGAATGTATAATTTCGAACGGTGAGGATGTGGCCGAAGTACGTGGGTTGAAAGATAGTTTGTGGCTCTTGGCCACGTTACAAGAAGTGCAAAGAAAATGAGAAGTAGTGGGCGTCGGTGTAGGCAGAGCTGGAGCCATGCGATTGAGAAGTTGCCGGTGTGGATGTCCAAGGCGTGCATGCCACAAGTAGGTGGGAGCCACGGTGGTATGCATAGCTTGTGGAGAAGCGTCGGCATCAGTATGGATGTAATAGAGACCGTTATGGAGTCGGCCACGTAGAAGCGGTCGACGATCCTGGGAATCCTTAATTTCAAAGCCGTTAGAGTCAAAAGTTATAGAGATAGAATTGTCACGAGTTAGCTTAGAAACCGAAATCAAATTGTGAGTTAGAGAGGGAACATGTAGGATGTTTCGTAAATGTAGCTTACGAGGAGTATCGGGAAGTGGAAGAAGACCCTGTCCGGTGTTCTGAATGGATGTAGAGGAACCATTTGCTACCGAAACAGCCGAAGAGCCATGGTAGACGGTTGATTGCTGAATGTTGTTGTTGTCGGGAGTGAGATGTTCCGAAGCACCGGTATCAAGAATCCAATCTTGATTTGGGTAGGACGCGGTGTTGGTGAGCATAGCACGAGGTGTGGTGGCTGTTGTAGGAGCGTATTTGAAGTTGCAACGGTGCCAGCAATTGAGTGCGATGTGACCGTTCTTACCGTAGATTTGGCAGTTGAGCCGTTGCGAGCTCGAGTTGTTGACGGAAGTCGGGGAGGGAATGGGTGCAGAAGGTGAGTATTGGTTGTTCTTGAAGTTCTTGGGCGGTCGACGGTTTGTCCGACCACGCTGTTGGTTGTGCGACATTGCGTAGAGAGCTGTTGGATCGGTGGAGTTGTTGTGGTGATGTTCTTGATTAATGTAGATTTCTTCGCTGCAGAGTAGCGAATATAGCGAATCGAGATCGGAAGGAGTTTGTGAATTCCGGATGAATGTTTTGAAGGGGTTATAAGTAGCAGGTAGACCGTTTAGAGTGTAAAGTATTATGTCTTCGGGATCAACTTTGGAGCCGGAGGCGGCAATGCTGTCGACAAGAGTCTTGACTTGCGTGAGATATTGTTGCATAGAGGAATTCTTCATTTGGAGATTGTGAAGTTCGTTCTTGAGTTGAAGAACTCGAGAGCGACAGGACGATTGAAGTCTTCGTTCAAGAATCGACCAGACTTCAAAGGCAGAGGTGGCGGTAATGACGTAAGGCAGGATGGAGGGGGAGATTGTAGAGAAAAGGGCCGAAATCAATGTGCTGTCGACTAGTTTCCAGCCAGCGTGCGCAGCGGGTTGATCAGCCGGAGGGGAAGGATTGTCGCCGGTGAGATGGCTTAGATAACCTGTAGCCGTGAACTGCTGGAGAATTTGGGTTCTCCATATGGGGTAGTTTTCGGTGGTAAGAGGATGAGGAAGCAGGTTCTTGATGTTGGTGACCAGGAATTTCAGGGATGCCGGAATAACGGGATCGTTGGAGCAGTTTCCGGCGAGAGCGGTGGAGGAGGGAGGGAGAGATGAAGCTGAATCTTGATCTCCCATCAAGTAGCTCTTGATACCATGTAAGAAGAAGAAAGGAACAGGAACACGAGAAAGGCAGAGAAGAAATAAGAGTATATATATATACATTTTTCTGTGTGAGATGGAAATTTGTGCAAAAAATTGTACTCTTTTTTGTCTATCAAAGGTGTAAAAGATAACTAATTTAAATTTCTATGTTTGATGAAAATTCATGCAAAAATTCTTAGAATCTTTTCTGTTCATCGAAATGTAAAAGATAACTGAATTAAATTTGTAGCTTCTAAGTGCTCATTTCAGACAATGTTTGAGTTGTTAGAAAAGACAATCAAGTATATCAATGTCGAGGTGTTGAGTAGGGGCTCCAAGTTTTTTGCTTCTATAGCAAACTCAGCTCCTATGGTAACTTTGTTGGCTTCTTGTGGATGCTTGGGTTCTTTATTTTGAAAGACTTCTCACTCTACTCCATAACCATACCTGTGATTATATATTATCTTGACTCATCAGAGTTATTGTCACATTTCAATTGCCTATTTGCAACTTCTATGATGGTCATTTAAGATTGTGAGTATGTCAGATAGCTTGGCAAATTTGAGTCCCGCCTTAATAGAGGAACTCTAGCAAATGTTGTTATAATTATGTCCAGGATACATTCGAGTATCTCCCACCATCATTTGATCGTACACCTGAGTAGTAAGCCTACCAAACAAAGAAAGTGGAGCTTTATGGACGAGATGAGTGTGTTCATCAAAGTGGAAATTAGTAAGCTTCCGAATGCAGATTTTATTTGAGATGTGTAGCACCCATAATTGAAGAATCTCATGATCCCGCATATGCCAAGAAGACGAGCTCAAGAACGGGAAAACAGAGACTAGTTTGGAAAGAAGGGTTATTCTTATTCACCGGAATAGTACAAGCTAATATATATAGAGTTTAGACATAGCAGTAACATATTTGGCTACATATAGAGATATACACTAGTCAGAATATATGTTGATTTATTGCTCTAATATGTAGCACCCATAAGGGTTCCCTATTGTCGTAGTGATTACTAAGCATAGCAAAAAATGAATGATGTGCATCAATTTCTTGAGATCTCCCACCATCATTTGATCGTACACCTGAGTAGTAAGCCTACCAAACAAAGAAAGTGGAGCTTTGTGGACGAGATGAGTGAGTTCATCAAAGTGGAAATTAGTAAGCTTCCGAATGCAGATTTTATTTGAGATGTGTAGCACCCATAAGGGTTCCCTATTGTCGTAGTGATTATTAAGCATAGCAAAAAACGAATGATGTGCATCAATTTCATGAATCTCAATCAATCATGCTGATAAGTTCCATGGTCCTTTTGGGGGCTTTTAGCTAGCAGGATTTGCAAGAACCGAAGGGGAGAGGGTCAAGGTGGAAGCAAAAACCGTGACCCGTTGCTTACGAAGAAACAAGAACCTTGTTGCTTACGAAGAAACAAGAACCTTGGTATGTGTTGATATCATAGCCAACTATGGAAGGTTGGTTGGCAAGTCAGGGAAGAATACCACAGAGAAATTTTGATGAGTTATTATTCTCTTAAAAAACTAAGAGAATTCATCAACAAAAAATTGACATCTTATTCCTTTTAAATGCCTTTTAATAGGTAGGTTTCTAATATATTACACGACATGCACACGAACACCTAAAATACCTTTGTAATAATTTCGGGTATTTAAAAGAAAAAGGACAAGGTTAAAGTACCCTTACTAGAAAACATATAATTATAAAACTGAAATTAAAAAAAAAAAAAAATCCAATTTTGCATACATAAACAAAAATCTGAATTATTCTAAGGCTTGAATGATGATTGTCTAGTCTTGATTAATGCTTTATATGGCACTCAAGCTTGCTTGGTCCCATGTAGGACGAATTAGCTTATAAAGTGTGTTTGAAATTCGTTGCATAAACTTGTGTCACTAGCCCAATGGGAAGTTGAATTAGATCCAAACATGACTCAGGCTACGTATTTGGCTTCGTACTATTCTTGACCCATCACATTCTCCAAAGATAATCACCCCATCTCTATCAACGACACTTTAGCTACAAAGAAATGAGCCTCCCCAGTCCCCCCTTAATTTGACAAAGCTTCTTCCAACTTAGAGCTTAGCTTGACAAAAGCTCATTCCAACTTGGAGAATATTGAGAACTAGAGTGCCAAAACGTTGAAAAAGATGAAGGAATGAGTGGCCATGTGGAATACCCTCATGTTGATTCAGGAACTTTTAAGACAGCCAACTCACATGCATAGGCGAATGTTGCCTAGAATGGTAGAGATATTCCCAATGGTAGGCCACACAAAGTACAAGATGCAACAAGAGATTAAATGATGTAATGATTCATTCGAAAATCTCAGAATCTGCTTTCTAAAATCTCTTCTGCAAAAAAATTTTTACCACTTAATTATCATGGCATGTGTAATGTTAAATGTGATGAGGATTTTCTATGAATTCCATTGGGGATTCTTCTAGTTTGTGATGGAGAAAATTATGAAGTATATCTCATAAATACCTTATATTCTAAGGCAGGAATATATTATTTGGATCTCTCACCGAGAAATAACAACACAAGGGATCTGTTATTCATTAGATTGTCTAGTTCTCTCTTCCCTTTCCCTCTCTCACATTGTGGCTCATCTCAACTTAAATCACTTGACCTGCCACTCGCACTCTCCTGACCTTATAACATCACAAATCTTGTGTTGACACAAGTGGGGTAGTGGGTAGGGAGCTCAGGCTCCGTTCGAGTGAAGGGAGTGTCACTTATGAATTGATGCTTTTTTTTTTGTCGGGACCTTTGTGCTAGCACTCCTTATATAAAGTTTTGAATATTCAGGGAATTGTTGTTGAAATTTTCTTTCCCATTTAAAATTATAGACTTGCTTTTATTATCGTTGTTCTTGTTGAAGCTTGAGGATCTTTCTATAAATATTGTCTAATTAATTTTCCACTCATAAATGTAGGAGCTGAAGCAATGTTTGCAGATCTTGGCCATTTCTCTTTAAAATCTATACAGGTCAACATCTTTTGTTTGATCCATTCCTGTTTCTCTTTCTTTTCCTTGGTTACCTGTACTTTATCTGGTAATCTTCATTAGTCCAACGCCAAGATATGTAGCTTCCAGTAACATCATAGATGGTTTATTTGCAGATTGCCTTCACATTTTTAGTGCTTCCCTGCCTTTTCTTAGCATATTTTGGCCAAGCTGCATATCTAATGAAACATCCAGATTCAGTTGAAAGAGTTTTCTATGATTCTGTTCCAGGTGAATCATCTGCTATAGCTGGTCATGCAAATTGTCAGAATCTTCTCTCTGAGATTTTTTTTTTCTCAAATAAATTCCAATAATCTCGTGTCAATTTTGACCATCTTGTAAATTTCGTAGGATCATTTTGCTAAGCTGTGCCTGAACTAACTCTTAATATGCTTGACTTGTGGAATTGGTGAGCAGAGGCCCTGTTTTGGCCAATATTTGTCATAGCTACTTTTGCTGCTATGATTGCAAGTCAAGCCATGATATCAGCGACATTTTCCTGCATTAAGCAATCCATGGCTCTTGGTTGCTTCCCTCGGATGAAGATTATACACACCTCTAAGAGATTTATAGGCCAGATATATATTCCCATTATCAACTGGTTCTTGATGGTCATGTGCATAATTATTGTTGCCATTTTCAGGAGCACAACCGACATTGCTAATGCGTATGGTAAGTACTTCTGAATCTTTTTACAGATATTTGAATGTACGTTTATCTCTTAAGCTGATTTCTTAGCCTTTTCTCATTCCAATATTTTCTGAATGGCTCTTTTCTGACGTTTTAATTTCCTTATCTGGGGTGGATAAAATTATTGAAATATTTGGTAGAAAAGGGTTAGATCAATGGTTTTATTTTAGGCTTTGTTTCGGACGGCTTTTCTATTGCTTCTTAAAGCAACTTTATAATACAAAAATTAAAAATATCAAACTAAATAATTATTTTAAGAAGCAGTAAGAAAGCCATCCCAAAGAAGCCTTAGTTTATTTATTTATTTATTCTTTATATCAATGCTAACTTGTTTAGCCTCCTTCTGCAGGTATTGCCGAGGTTTTGGTGATGTTGGTGAGCACTACATTGGTGACACTCGTAATGCTCCTCATATGGCAAACCAACCTATTTCTTGCCCTTAGTTTCCCTGCCATATTTGGGACAATAGAGCTGATTTACTTATCCGCAGTTCTTAGCAAGGTACTGGAAGGTGGGTGGCTTCCACTTGCATTTGCGTTAAGTTTCCTCTTTGTGATGTATGTCTGGAACTATGGAAGTGTGTTGAAGTACCGCAGTGAGGTGCGAGAGAAAATTTCCATGGATTTCATAACCGACCTTGGATCCTCACTTGGAACTGTTAGAGTTCCAGGAATTGGACTTGTCTATAATGAGTTGGTACAAGGTATCCCTTCAATATTTGGCCAGCTTCTTGTCACCCTCCCTGCTGTGCACTCAGTTATTGTGTTTGTCTGCATCAAGTATGTTCCAGTTCCCATTGTTCCTCTCGGCGAACGGTTCCTTTTTCGAAGGATTTGTGACAAGGATTTCCACATGTTCCGATGTGTTGCACGCTACGGATACAAAGATGCAACCAAGGAAGACCACCACACATTTGAGCAGCTGTTAGTGGGGAGTCTTGAGAAGTTTTTGAGAAAGGAAGCTCAAGAACTTGCAATAGAGAAGATCCCAGAAGAAACAGATCCTAACAATGAGTCAATGGTGTCAGGGAACACCGGCATTCGAAGCGATGTTCCCGAGCTCTGCATCCCATTACTGTCTGATAAGAATGTTGTTGACATCAAAGTTACCAGGGTGGAAGATGGTTCTTCGCTTCCATCTACTTCGTCGCCATCGACCGAGGATCCAAGTTTGGAATATGAACTTTCTGCACTGAGAGAAGGGATAGAATCAGGATTCACTTATCTGCTTGCTCAGGGTGATGTGAGAGCAAGAAAGGATTCTTGGTTCACAAAGAAGCTTGTGATCAACTACTTCTATTCATTCCTGAGAAGGAATTGCAGAGCAGGTGCTGCAAATATGAGTGTGCCTCATATGAATATTATTCGGGTTGGAATGACTTATATGGTTTGAGCTAAATTCAAATCTTTCTCACAGCAGATCACTGATCACTGTATTGAGATAATGAGATGCCTTGTTGTTTTCTTTTATTAATAGACAGTTGCTGGCACTAGAAATAGGCTTCAAAAATTTCAAGTTGTTCTGCTTTATATCTTGTATTATTCTGTCAATAATGTTAAGTCTTGTTTAGAATTCCAAATAAATGCAGGAATGTTTGCAATTGGATGTTCTTGTTCTTTGTTTGTCCAAAGGAGAAATTTTTAAAACATTTCATATAATTCTTAGTTATTTATTAAGGGATTTACAAATATATTTAACATTTAAACTTTTATATTTATTTATGTTGTCCTCGGATTTTTAATTTCATAAAAAATATTAATATTTTTTGAAGTGAAAAACATTATTTTTTTATGCATATATTTGATGTGATTAAGACATAAAAATGTTATATACGTTAATATCAAAATTTAGATATTAAATACATAAACAGAGAATAATTATATGTTGGTGTGATATAAAATCATGCAACGAATTAAATAAGAAATAAGAAATATAACGGAAAAGAAAAATATTAGGATTTAACAGGAAAAGTTTCAAAATCTGAAAAAAAGAAATTATGGAGCAATATTATACTAAGAATTTATTATGAAAATTTGGGACAAATAATGCAGATTTTTGTGTCAATTTTACTCTCTCGTTGTTTTTTTTCATTCTTGCATCATTCTTATACTAGAACATATAAATTGATATGATGGAAACCACAAATGATACAATTATTAATGAAAAATGAGAAATAAAATTGCTCGCAACATAGCAGCGCAAAGTTGGAGCATTGTGGCTCTCCAACTCTTTGATTTCAATATGTACAATAGTGCCGCAACACCTGTTTTGGAGCTTCGTAGCACTCTGATTATGTCTTTTTCAATCAAAGTATACAGTGTTGGGGCACTCGAGTATATAGCATTGAGACACTAGTGTAAAAAAATATTTAAGTTGTGAAGCCACCCAAACCCAAGCATGGGGTGAGCCCCCTCAATCCTCCAACGAGCTCAATAGGTTGAATTAAGGTCTGAGATAACTTTATAATCCAACTGATCAAACACAATCGGTATTTAGAAAATAATAATTTCTCACTCACTTATTAATATATATGAAAATAAAATTATCATTTTTCATAAAATTTGGATTTATTTTTTTTGAATTTTGATATCAACATGAATATCTAATTAAATTCAACTAAATAATAAATTTAATAATTTTCACAATTTTCTTAAAATATAATTTCTAACTTTAACCAACAAAATAAATCCCAAATTTGAGAAAGGTTAGTCCTTTTAGATTTATTTGATACATTTTTCTTATTACTTTGATTTTAAGTTTATAACCATAATTTCTGTTTGGCCTTTTTTGTTGCTTTGAAAAAAATTTATAATAAAAAATAATTTGTTACAACAGCTTTAAAATTTTTTTTTTTCTATAACAACCTTACAAAGCAATAATAAAACTGTTCCAAACAAAATTTTAGGCTTCGTTTAGGACGGCTTTCTTATTGATTCTTAAAGCAGTTTTTTAGTATAAAATTTTTTATTTTTGTACAAAAAATCTACTTTAAGAAACAGTAAGAAAGACGACCCAAACGAAATTTTATTCTTCAATGAGATTAAGGTCTTGTTTGGAATGACTATAATTTTTATAAAGGTGATTGTAAAGGCACTATAGAGAAAGCAATTTTTTTAAAAGCTATTGTAAAAAACAGATTATTAGTACAAAATATTATTGAAAACAGTGATTAAATAAAAATTATGATTATGATCTGAAAAGTCAAAATAATAAGAAATATGTCGCAAATGAAGCCTAAAGCTAATTAAAACAAACAAATTACTCATTTGACTAATCAAATTTCCAACACATCTTCTCAAGCATAGAGCTCCACAGCTGTTGCAAACTATAGGAAGAGAACAAAGTGCCTTGGAGGACAAGAAATTATAGGGGCAATGGAGGCAAAGATCCCCTTCCAATGCCCACAAAAAACCAAAAGGCACATGCAATTGTAAAAAGGTGAGAAAGGAAAAATAAAGAGGGAATATATCCAAAGAGTACCAACACAAAATAATAAAGTTTTAGTTTTATGAATAGGTATAGATATTTTAGTATTTTACACTGCAGACCAAAGGGCAGTAGAAAAAAGAAAATAAAAATAAGGCATTGTGTCAGGTTCAACCTTCACCTTCTTTCCATTAAAAAAAAAATTTGCAACCATGAAACTTGTGCTTTATAAACAATTATCTAAAGATTAAATGGATCACCACTTATGTATTTAGGAAATTTACATTTACATACTCAGTGATTTCATATTCATAATTATAAATAGGTAGATTTATATACATATCACACAATTATAATATATTTATCTATTTGATATCTAAGATTTGATATTTTCTTATATAATATACAAATCATTAAATCATATAAAAATATCACTACCATTAATTTTTTAAAAGTGAAAAAATACATTTCATGTATATATTTTGATGTGATTGAAACGTTAAAACCATTAATTAAGTAGTTATTAAAGTTCGAGGTTAGATAAGTAAATGTTTAAGAATTATGCGCTATATATGTATGTAAAACTATCTTATAAATAATAAATTAGAAATCCATTTATGTAATATAAATTTCTATTGTATTCATATTGCATCACACTATACACAATTGTAAAAGAAAAAGCTAAAATAATTTGATTAAGGCTTCGTGTGGGACAGCTTTCTTACTACTTCTTATTTCATGTATATATTTTGATGTGATTGAAATGTTAAAACCATTAATTAAGTAGTTATTAAAGTTCGAGGTTAGATAAGTAAATGTTTAAGAATTATGCGCTATATATGTATGTAAAACTATCTTATAAATAATAAATTAGAAATCCATTTATGTAATATAAATTTCTATTGTATTCATATTGCATCACACTATACACAATTGTAAAAGAAAAAGCTAAAATAATTTGATTAAGGCTTCGTGTGGGACAGCTTTCTTACTACTTCTTAAAGTAGCTTTCTAATATAAAAATTAAAAATTTTTGTACTAAAAAGCTGCTTTAAGAAGCAAAAAAAAAGCCGTCCCAAATGAAGCCTAAGTTGACAAAGTTATCGGGTTGTATTTTCATTTAAACTAATTTTATTAATACATTATGCTGCCTTAATATTGCACGTACACAATATAGTTGTATTTTGGAAAAGTTTGTGAAACTTAGATCAATTAGCAAGAGTAGTGGAATCTATTTTAATGTGATTTTTTTTCATAACATTTTGATAGCATTTCTCATAAGTATAAAACAATAACATAAAAATACAAGAAGGTTGATATTGTAACACTATTATCCAACATGAACACTCCAACAAGAGCACCATCATTCTTTTTGGCATTTTTAACGAATTAAATAAAAAATTTAGAGGCACTTTATATGCATATCTCGAACTTAAGATTTATTGGCTGAAAGTCTAAGTTCCGAACCAATATATTATATTCGGTTGCATAGAGCACCACGCTCTTGACTTCATCATTACATGTCATATGTTCCTCATTCTCATGATCCTTTCTATCTAATACCTAATTTTCCTCTCTTAACTCTAATTTGGGATTTTATTGTGGTATACCACTATAATGACATACACTACATGAAAAACTAGAATTATCAACGGACTTTCTAGCGGTATTATATTTTTCGTAGTAGCGTTGGTGTAATCGGTGGATATTTTGTTGAACAATTGTAGGTGGGTTGTCCAACGGATAAACTACAAGAACATTACCGGTGGAAAACCTGTTGGCAGTGCCCCGAGTTTTCTTAAGCTGGCAGTACCTCCTGGCAAAAATGCCCCAAAAATGGTTCGGCAGAACTTCCGACAGAAAATATGTCAGCTTACTTAAACACGACAAAATTTTCCTGCGGAACAGCAGCTGGAGACATCTGGCGGAAAATTTGCTGGGAGCACCAGTGAAAAAGGCCTTATTTCCCCTCCTGACACTATTCGTGATCATCTTGCTATTCATTTCATTCCCGCTTCTCTCCCGATTACATGAGTTGCCTCTTGCATCCGTCGCCTTCATACACCACCTCCGTCGTCATTATTCGTTGCCTCGGTCATCGGAACCACTGTAAGTTTTTTTTGCAATTAGCCCATATCTTTTTTGCTTTGGTCATGGATGTTCTCAGTAGACATTTGCAAGAGATTGTACTATGGTGTATGCATTTTTTTTTATCATATTCTTCTTTTTGATAAGCTTAGAGAGGGAGTTGATTGTGAAATAGATGTGGATACTATTAGAAGAATTCAAGTTAGATGGTTAAAGTGGATGACTGTGTTATTATTGTGTGATAGAATATTCCCCTTAAACTTAGGGGAAAATTCTAGAAGATGGTGGTGAGACCTGCAATGCTTTATGGTGTAGAATGCTAGTCATTAAAAGAGAAGCATACCATTAAGTTAAGTGTTTGTAGAGATGAGAATGTTCATGAGTTGCTTTACTCTTACATGCAAAATACGAAATGAGCATATACGTGAAAACGTTAGAGAAGCTCCCATGGGAGATAAGATTAGAGAGAGTGAGAGAGTCACCTTAGATGGTTCAGTCACATAAAATGACAGCCTCCGGGTGACCCATTTACATAAGTAGAGATATTAGATTTGGCTTATGTTAAGAAAGGTAGAGGTAGACCTAAAAAGAATTGGTAAAAAAATATTGGAAATGAGCATTCTTTATTATATTTAAATGAGAATTTGACTCTTAATAGAACACAATAAAGAAAAAGGACTCATGTAGCCAACCCCACGTAATGGATAAAGGCTTTGATGTTATTGTTAATTTGTTGACCTTCTAATTAGATTTAAATGAGAATTATCACCATCCCATTTACAAAAAAAGTTTGAATTCAATCTATTTTTCTTAAATAGATGTTACTCCAATCTCTAATATCTTCACATTATATTGTTACAACTTAGTTTTCATTTTTATGTTTTCATATCATGTGTATTTTTTATGATTCTAAATATTATTATTTTGATTACTGTTTCTCCTAACTTATATTGAATGTATTATTTTTGTTGTTTGTGTGTACTAATATTTTAGAAAAAATCATTCTTCAAACTGTTGAAGACTTATAGTCATAATTTTTTAGGATTAATTATAATTGGAGTCTGTATTTTTACACTTTTTTTAGTCTGAAAGAGTGTGATTGTAATTGAGTAACCGTATACACACACATTGAGGGAGTTTTAGAATTTTGTAATTTTTTAAACTAATCGTATTGTACGATTTCAATTCGTGCGGAACGATGTGTTTAGTTATTTCCTCCAGCAAGTAGTTAATCGAAGCATGGAAGGGAAAAAAATTTCTAAGTATTGTTTGTACTGTACAAAGTTGGCTTCATACAGACGACGTTTAGAGTACTAAAATGTTGGAAACATTTTTCGTCCATACGAATAGGTAAATTTTTTGAACTGTTCGTCCGAGATGATCTGGAGTTCATACAGACGACATCCAAAGTACGAAAATGTTGGGAACAATTTCGTCCATACGAATAAGTAAATTTTTTGAACTATTCATCCGGGACAATCTGAAGTTCACACAGACAATGTCCAGAGTATGAAAATGTGGTGTATCTTTTCTTCTAGATGAATAAGAATTTTTTGATAATTGTTCGTACGATACAATATACATATCATACCCTACGATATGCCTGTATGAAAACATTTCGTACAGGATTGTACGAGCAAATTTTGAACTATTTATTTGGGACGATTGTTGATCGTACTGTACGATCGTGGACGGTCAAAATTGAAATTTTTAGTTTTCTGGATGGTTTTTTGTGTCTTTCATATAAAATGTCCATAGAAACTGAGTTGGATGAATCTTGTCTTCGTGATTTCTTAGAGAGCAAGTGCAAGGGTGATTTGGGAGAGTGTTTGAGAGAGAGTTCTTACAAGTGGAATGCGAAAGATTCACATGATTTCTCAAAGGTGAGGCCATCTCTTTTGTTTTTGTGTCAATTTTCTTCATTTTTCTTTTTAGTTGCTCGAGAGAATATCTTTTGAGAAGATCTGGTACTCTGCCGACACTTGAAGAGTGTGAAAGGATGACGGTACTTTGCTGACACTTGGATAGTGTGAAAAGATGACGGTACTCTGCCAATACATGGAGGATGTGAAAGGACGACGGTACTACCGCACCAGGGATTGGTGGAAGAGAGGAAAATTATAAATGCTTCTCCGCATTGCTGTGGGGCAAAATGAGAGTCACTTTGGTAATAGTGCAATACCTAAAGTAAGAATCTTCAGGGAGTGGACATAGGTCTTGTTGGACTGAACCATTATAATTTACTGTGTTCATTTTTTTATTTCCGCATTTTATTTTCAACAACTTGTTGTTGTGGTTAAAAAGCATATTTTAAAGAAAATCAAATTGTGAAAATTATTAAACAATTTTCTAAAATTTATCAAGAATTTTTAAATAACCAATTCACCCCCATCTTAGTTAGCCTTGAGATAATTGTGTAGGTCTGATAATCTATACGGACTTTTCATATGTTTAAGAAAATTTTTTCATATTATGTATATTAAAAATAAAAGAAATTGGATGTATTATCGATTGAATGAAAGATATTAACAAATGAGTTCATTAATGGGGTAAATTTTTTATCCAGATAGCTTACCAATTGTCTAGCGTCATCTCAGATAGAAAGTTTTGATGCCCATATTTTAAACATGAAAATCAAGTGCACCTCACATTAGATGACGTAATTGTTGATCAATTCACGAAGGATTCATGCCAGAATATTGGTATTGGACTTCTCACAGAGGATTCATGCCAGAATTCATCGAAAGGAACAATGTTTCGGCACTCGTTTTACTGTTGACCCAATTTTTGTCGGCAATCCGTCGGAAATGCAAAATTTTCAGTGTAATTTCTTGTTTTTCAGCAGATTTAGGCCATCAGAAATACGAGTTTTTCCCATAATTATATCCTTGCTTGTAATGGGAAAGGGGGAAGTTATGATAAGTCGCAAATCATACTAAAGAGCTCACTTACAATTTTTTTTGTCTTTTCTCATTCATGAAAAAAAAATATACATAAATGATGTAACCTTTATAGGGTACTTTATGTTGTTTGTTCGAACTTAAGTTTCGCTTGGGATGGATTTCTTATTGCTATTGAAACTGCTTTTTAGCACAAATTTTTTAGTTTTTGTACTAAAAAACTACTTTAAGAAGCTGTAAAAAACTTGCCCCAAACGTAACCTTAATGTCTTAAATTGGTATAAGTCTAACTTAAGCTCAAACTAAATATGCTATAAAAATATATAAGGCCGAATAATTACTAAATTATTTTACTCATTTTTTTTAAATAATATTTGTATGCTTAAGTTTTATTAATGAATAAAATTATTTTTTATGTATAATATCATATAATTATTGTGCATAGGAAGTAGTGTTAGTAGAAAGAGAAAATCTTATATCTTTAGCTTCGCATAGCAATAAAAATACACACATGAACATTCAATTAAGTAAGAAAGAATAGACATCTCATAATGGGCAATTCAATTATTATCAATAATATACTATGAATATTTCCCTTAAACATTAATAATGTGGGGGGTGTAAATAGCACCTTATTATTATTAAAATATGATTGGATGATGATGCTCGAACAGGTGTGCTTGGGTCGATGCCAACTTTGGTGACTAATGGTGATCTAATGAAGTGACTAGAGTCCCCTAACTAAAATAACTCATTCTATCATAGATTTATCATGTTGTAAAGTTAATAATTAAAGTTATTCTAAAATTTGTGCATCATATAAAATTTCATGCATTGTCATATTAGGATTTTTACGCTCACAAAAGTTGTCCCTTCTTTTTTACCTATTGCTTTGCAAGGCTAAAAATGCTTGTTAGTTTTGAAATATCTATCACATGAAATTATGATCTAGGAAATTTTCAAGGCAATGTTACTCCTTGAGTATTAAGATAAGCCTCCCGTCGATCACGGACCAAATCATTTTCCATTGATTGCAACACTACTACTTGTATAATAATCAAGACTCTTAGAAAGCTTTAGATAAGAAATCTTTAAGAGACAACTAAGCAAAAAATCCAATTAGATGGCTCAATATTCATTTTTTATGCTTTGTTGGGAGCTTAATTAAAAGTGAGAGAAGTCAATAATGTAGAAAAGTCACCCTCATGGTTCTTAAGAATCCTAAAATGATGTAAAATAAAGATATTTTTATTATGTGTATATATATATATATATATATATTTAAAAATCACAAATTTAAGTTAATTTTTCTCAAAATATTATAAGAAAATTTGTAAAATAAAAGAAAATCATTAAAATCCCTCCTATCACTCAATAGTCCTTGAGTTTGACTTTGGATAGAGAAAATTTTAAATATCATTCAAGAACATCCATAATATTGCTCCCCAAATTCAATTTTTTTTTTCAATTTAACTATTTTATTTAAATCTCCTATAGTAAATCACATCATAAATTTAGAAATGACAATAAATGATCTGACATGATAATCTAATATATATTTGAACCAAAAAAATTCATAATCTAATTCCAGTAGCTACATGAGGATGCTCAGATGGATAAGTGGCTTTACCTTTAGAGATAGAATGCGAAACGAGCATATACGTGAAAAGATTGGAGTAGCTTCAATGGCAGATAAGGTTAGAAAAAGTCGCCTTAAAAGGTTTGGTCACATAAAATATTGGCCTTCTAATGGCTCGATTAGTGAGAGTAGATATATTAGATTTAACCTATGTTAAAAGAGATAGAGATAAACTTAAAAATATTTGATTAGAAAAATGTTAGAAATGATATTTTTTAATAGATTTAAATGAGAATTTATCTCTTAATATAATACAATAGAGAAAAAAAATTTATATAGCCGACCTGTTGGGTTCGGGTCCAAATTTTAATCAAATTGAATTTGGGCTGATTTCAAATTTCTGACCCAACAAATTTACACCCTGCACAACGAACAATTATTACGTCCTCCGACCTGAGGACGTAGAGGAACGTCCGGTCGGAGGCCAAATCGCGCCAAAAAATGAGAAATATCGAGCAAATACCGAGCAATATCAAACAAAAACGAGGAATACCACCATGTGAAGGCCCAATACCGAGTTATACCGAGCAATACCGAGTTGTAAAAAAAATACCGAGTTTTTCCTAGAAAAAACTCGGTACAACTCGGTATTGCTCGGTATAACTCGGTATTGACCTTCACAGAGAGGTATTCCTCGTTATTATCAAATAATACCTAGCAATATCGAGCAAATAACAATTTTTTTGACAGAATTTTACCTCCAAACAGATGTTCCTCTACATGCTTTCACCGGACGTAATAAAAGTTCCTGCACAACCCTTCGAAACAGTATTTATACCGGATAATTTTATTAAATCCGAGAGAGAGAGGGGGAGAGAGAGATGGTGAAGCAGCGTATGCGCGGTTCAAGCAGTCGCTTGTCTTCTTTTAGCTTCTTTATCCCACAATACTTGCAGTAGCGACAGTAAAATAGGAAAAAAAAAAAAAGATGGAGAGCATGATGGAGTTTTCTCTTCTTTCCCATCATCTGACATCAATTTCCCTTCTTGCATTCCCCTTCTCAGTTTCTCTCTGAGCTCCCTTTTTCTCTGTTCTCCTTCCTCTTCATCTGCATACTGGGGTGTTGGTTGAGCTTGGGAAGGCTTGGCATTAATGGCAGAAAGGAAGCAAGGAATTGTTTTGATCCTTCTTCTGGTGCTCGTGCTTAGTGGAGTTAGCTCAGTCTCAGCAGCATTTCCAGCAAGTGGGTTTATTTTCCTTTCCGCATTCTTTTTTCCATCACTGCTGAAATGTATGGCTCCTTCTTGCAGAGTTGGTGGGTGGATTATTTTCCAACGTGCTCTCTGCCATCTTGAAACGGCTATGGACGATCACTTCTTCTCCAAAGACTGGTATAGCCCCTCCATTAGTATTCTTTGCTGTTTCGGGTTTTTAGTGATGGGATTTGATTGTTTTCTAGTGATCTCCGGACGTCCATTGATGAAATTTGAGAGTGGGTACACTGTGGAGACGGTTTTCGACGGTAGCAAGCTTGGGATTGAGCCTTTTTCAGTCGAAGTTTCGAAAGGCGGCGAGCTCTTGGTTCTGGATTCAGTGAACAGCAACATTTTCAGGATATCTCTGCCATTGTCCCGATGTGAGTTGGTCTTTTTCAGCGTTTTTCCTTTTGTTAGATTATCCTTTTTTTTTACCTGAAGGTTAGGTGTGATGTGGGTGAAATTTCTGCTCTCCCCACCTTTTTGTTTTTTTAGCTGTAGCTATTACGCATTTTATGTAGTTTCATTTTCTGGGAGGAGGAGAATGTTTTGAGGCTGTTTAATAGTTTCCCGGCATTTAGCTAATGGAGCTGAGCTGTGCTTTTGGTGGGATCCTTGTGGTGTAATGAAAGATGATTTTCATACTGTAAATTGTTAGATCTACCTTTCATTATGTGTCTGCCAAAAGTAAGTTGTATTGTGGTAGAAAACATTGTAGTTTGTCTCCTTGTTTGGATTGTCTGATGTGCAACCATTGTGCTCTATTAAAATATTTATACAACTCTAAAGTTATTCTTACAAGCAATTATAACCCTCAAGGCAAAGGCAATTATTATTTCTCTTTCCATGTGTGATTTGTTTTGTTCTGGTTTGTTTAGTATTTAGGCATTTGGTTTTGTTAGGAGTGTGGATCACTTGGTAACAATTTTGTGCCCATTGCTAACAAAGTCTCGCACCCAACTTTTCAACTTCCTGATATTGTATTAAATTTATTTCATCTTATGTTGTCTAACGCGTTTGCTGGATGTTTGCATTTTTTAAATGAATGCGTTATTCTTTGTGTGAATTTTTCCTATTTTAGAAGTTTTCATTAGGACTCCAATGTCCTTGTGGAGAAACCTAATGAAATTTATAGCCAATTGATATTCATGGTTGTAATGGCTTCTATTTAATTGCTTTATATTTTTTTATCCTACTGTGATGTGCCAAGTATCCTTGAACATTTTAATCGCTTACGCTTATGCTTGGTATGTTATTTCCTCATTTGCTACTCTTCATGATCCGCACAACAAATTCTTTATGGTATATGCCACAGAAAATTAGGCACTAATTGCACTAAATTAAAGTCGTTGCTGATTAAGACTGTATGTTGTTAATTCTTGCTATGGTATTCCACTCCATGTTATAAATTTGACCGCCAATTAGGCAGTAGCTGATCCTAAAGTTGTGAAATTCAAAATATCTTTGACTACAGCCAATCTCAAATAAAAATTTGATAGAAAAAGTACTACGCAGCTCTCTTTAGTCTGTTGGTTAGGTGCTTTGGCTATCAATTAGAGGTCTTGGATTCGAATCATCCGTATGTGATGTGTGTGTGTGAGTTCAGACATTATCCCTTAATTTTGTCTAAAAAAGAAAAAGAAAAAAAAAGAACAAGTACTACCTTCCTGAGCTCATCCTTTGTTGGGTTTCTGAGAACGAGTTCAGTCTTACATACCATCTTAATGTGTGTCTTATTTTTTCTAAACTTCCCATTAGTAGTTGACAGAAATAACTATATTGATTGGTACTTATTGCATTTGAAGAGAAAGGTAAGGTAGAGACCCTTGTGACGTGTATGTAGACAATATCAAGGGCTCGATTAGTGGGCTGTGGCATCTACGGACGCCTCTTGAACGCCAGGTTTTTGGAGCAGAAAAGTTGCTTATTGTGGGCGGGCCCAGAAGGCCAACCATTTGAGGATTATAATACAAAAAAGTGATAATAATAGCTGTAACTAATATGGTGAATAGAAATAAGAAAATGGCAAATTTGTATTTTAACAATTTATGGGTTCATTTTTTTAGGTGTATAAAACTTTGAACAACGCCTATCCAAGGTGCACCATTGAATTCCCATTTATATAGATTTTTTATTGTGGAACATAGTCTGTTGTTATCTTGTGCTATATCCACCACTTTTTTTCCTTGGCGAGCCATAGAACATCTGAAACATTGCTTTACCTTTCTTAATGTCATTCATTATGGCTACTCATATTTCCTGATTTCTACTGGCGTTGATTTGCAGACAGCAGGCCCAAACTTGTTGCTGGTTCGGCAGAAGGTTATGCTGGTCATGTTGATGGCAGGCCAAGAGAAGCAAGGATGAATCATCCCAGGAGTTTTACTATGGACGATAGGGGCAACATCTATGTTGCAGATACCATGAATATGGCAATTAGAAAAATAAGCGATACAGGTATGCTAAAGGGGTAACACCACCGAAATTCTAGTTTTTTTTGGGGTAATGTTAGGTGTTTTTTACTTTATTTTTGTAATAAACTAGTTCCCGTAGTGCAAAACTGGTAACCTGAGAATTCTCATTGGTGATTCTATCGGACTTATAAGTTCCAAGTCAATTGAGGTAGAGTTTTTCTAAGATGTTTTTTGTCTTCATCATTTCTTTGATGTGATTGTAGCTGCGTCATGCTTTATTGGAGTAATTACCTCAACAAATGCTTGCTCCGTGGTTCTTTAAAGATATCTTATCAGCCACTGATTTGTGGCCAACTTGAGTTTAGATATCCTTTTGACAAACATTTTCCGGCTTAACCTGTAGCTTGAGTTCCATGTTATTTAAGAAGCATTTATTCTATTGGATAGTATTTAGTAATATCTTTTTAGCTGGATTGGTGGCACAAATTGAAGTTTTCACTGAACATTATAGTGGCTAACACGCACACTGAAGTAGGCACGGTCAATTTTAAAAAGGAAAGGTTTGAAAGGGAGGAAAGAAAGAGTTTGTACTTACAACTATTTGCAGTATTCTGCCTTCAGTCAATGCCTACATTAACAAACATCAAAGAGAGTTTTTTGTAAGAAATCCAATTGATTTTTATTTCCATTCTAGGTACAACTGTTGCTATTTATAAAAAATGTAATAATAAAAATATTCATACAAATGCTAGAAGAATAAAATTAATGGTACAATCAAATCACTCACCTTGTCTTTGGTAACTAGCAATTATTATTTGGAAGATTTGATGTGATATTTTGGAGCTCTCTTAGGATATCTCTCCCTTGCTTGAGGAACAAGGGACAACAAATACAAGCCTAAAGGCTCCAAATCTTGACAAAATCAAATCACCTCCCTCTTTAGTTCATCTTTTCATGCAGCCTTAAATGTAGCTCTATTGACTCAGTTTTTGAATCAAGTTAACTTGATTTAATTTAATTGAATTAATCAATTTAAATTCTTTTTTTTTGCTCAACATAATTCAGTTTGACTAAATTGAAATGGTCAATTTAAGTTAGTTGAAGTCAATCGTTTGATTGGCCCTAAACCCATTAATTGAGTTGAATAGAGTCAATTTTAATTTAATTGAGTCGAACCAAGTCAAATTGATCAAATAGGTTTCCATTGGCTCACTCGGTTTGGTTTATAGCCAACATGAGCCCTCCAATGTCTCAATTTAGCTCTGATTGGCACCTTTCTAGGTCGAATTGGTGTTATCTTGGGGATGAAGTTGTTACAAACCTTAGGGAAAAATAAGGACAATTAGGGAGCACTCACGATGGAATTAATGGTGGATGAGAGAAAGGTGGTTATAAGGGGAGATGCAGGGCTATCCAAAGCCATGGTATCACTTAAGACTATGGTTAGGGTCTTACAAGAGGTGGGGGAAGATTTTCTGGTGGGACTACATAAGCTGGATGTGATCAGGGTGAAGAAGGGAGGGGATATTTCTCTTTCAGTGCAACCCTTGAGTCAGCAATTTAATAAGGATTTTTAGCCACATCAAGGATGGCCACCTTCACGGGAACACGAGCATATCTCCACCTTGAGGACAAGGTGGATCTTTGGTAGGGGAATATTGTTAGACCGGTCCATTGGACCGGTCCAGCCGATCCACTGGACCGGTCCAGCCGATCCACGTTGGACGGGCCCAGGCACGAACGAGGCGGAACATCTCCGTCTCTTCTATTAGCCGCACGCATGCGAATCCCTTGGAGCTCATTTAGGAAGGTTTTTGAATGGATTCTATGAGGGAAATTGAATGTAGGGATTGTTTAGGGAATTCTTTTTTATTTGTATGCAATAAATACTTTGTTTTCCTAGGGTTAGGGCATCTTGAATTTGGCTGAAATTTGAGATCTCTTGGATTTCTTTTGGGCTCTAGCGGCGTCTAGAGATTGGGAGAGAACGATTTTCCTCTCGAATAAAGGATCAATATTATCTCGCTATTTTCCGCTTCCTTTTCATCAAATATTACAAATTTTATACTGTTTTCCTGTTTTTGTGTGGATTTTGGTAAGAAAGCTTGTTGTTTTTCGAGGATTGATAGTAAATACTTGAGATCTTCAAGTGTTTCCTATCAGTTCGCCACAAAATGACATCATTATATTCGGAGCTCATATATTCTCCAACGACGTTAAATTATTGAGCACTGAATCAATAGAATATAATTAATAGAGCACAAAGCCCTCTGTCAACTAAGGTGGATTCAAATTTGTCCCCTTAAACAAACATCCACCCCAGGTCTGCAAGTTATCCTTGGACGACGCAACCTTGACCGTCGACTAGGATCCTTCTGTCAGGTTGGGTCGACTACCTCATCTGACTAAGTAAACCAGGGACCACCATCGCCCAGGACGACGGAATCATGAGATCTTGATTGGGCTCATCATCACTCCGTCACCATCTGCTTTAAGTGTAAGATGGTGAAATTTCAATTTTAAATATTAAATTTTCAAATACCAAACCTCTTGCTACTATACGCCGGATACTATGCATCTATTTGACGACTAGCCTTAATCAAAAGTTCTTTTTCATTATCTGGAGGGGTAATTAACTATAGGGGCTTGCACCTATAGGAAACCTGAACTCAAATCCAAAGTCCTCGCAAAATGAGTGTGAAATATCTGGGTAGTGTCCTATTTCAAACCCATTCTACCTTCTGAAAATTTACCCGTAATTTAATTTATTAAAACTCTCCCTAAAGAGGAGAGGCCGGTGCGCAAATTTTTGGAGCGCATAATAATATTAAGTTAATTGTTGTAGAGATGAGGATGCTCATGTGGATGAGTGACTTTACTCTTATAGACATGATACGAAATGAGCATACACGTTAAAAGGTTGGAGTAGCTCTAGTGGCAGATAAGATTAGAGAGAGTCGCCTTAGATGGTTTGGTCACATAAAACAGCGGCCTTCTGATGATTCAATTAGGAGAGTAGATGTATTAGATTTAACCTATATGTTAAGAAAGGTAGAGGTAGACCTAAAAATACTTGGTTAGAAAATATTAGAAATTATATTTCTTTATTAGATCTAAATAAAAATTTGAGTGTTAACCGGACACAATGGAGAAAAAGGATTAATGTAGCCAACCCCACGTAATGGGATAAAGACTTGATGTTGTGTTGTGTTGTTGTATTCTTATCTTTGGTGGAATACAAAGCAGAGCTTGGCGGAGTATGAATATCTCTGATACCATTTTAAAAATTAGAAAGAACTATAAGAGAAAAGCTTGAATCAAATTTCATTTCAAATTGCAGAAAAGTTAAATGCTTACAGGAGCAAAACATTATTAATTGTTGGTCCTACATTTAAGGAAGGAATTAAGAAATAATCAAAACATGAATAATCAGAGCACGCTGATTGTTGAGGTGGACAAGCATCCTATAGTTGATATAATTGGAGCACACGGATTACTTGATGAGAAACTAATGCGGGTCCGACATATCACAGAATTTCCACATATTGGCCTACGTGGTTTCTTGTTTCAGAAAATAGAACTACATGCATTAAAATTGTATGAAGTAATGTGCAGGTAAACCTTCTATAAATTGGTTTGCTGGGAATTGTTCTTTCTTTTATTGATGAATAGATATAGGAATACACAAATCAGTTTTTTGAATCATTTTCAGTGAGATTAAAATGCACCATAATCTGTTGCGCTTCACTGCTTGGAGCCTTTTTTTGGACTTCGACCAACAGCTGCAGATTGACTCACTTTTCTTTGGTGTTCGTATGAATTTGATTTGTTCGCAGAATCTACACTTGATCTTGGTCATAAAGCACTTACACTTCTATTCTACTACTTTGTGGTCAGGTCAGGCCATAGCTGTCAATGGCGCAAAATATATTTTTTATATAGCTTGCGCCATGTTCAAAATAGCGCGCGCCGCGCCGTGCGCTATGCGCCATGGCTCCAAATGGACCTTTGCGCCATGGTGCGCCATTCGCCGTTAACAGGTATGGGTCAGGCACACGAGCCACTCCAAACATGTCAGGACATCACATGGTGTATTTGTTGTTTATCATTAGAGAAAGTGGACATTACTTGGATATTATCCACGACAGATTAGGAAAATTTTGCTTATAAATGGGCATATTTCTTGACTCATCTCCGATCGACAAATTTTTTTCTTTTGTTTCTTTCAATGTCTTTCTTTTTTGTTCTGTCCCAATATGTTTTATCATCTTATTTATTGAACATATTCTGGAAGGTTCAGATGCAAGATGGTTATTCCTTCTTTAGCTTGTGTTGTCCTAATTTTCCAATACTTTTCAAGTCCTTGTTCACCATGCATTACACTTGTCTTTTCTTTTACTTATCTGTAAATAGATTTTTTCACTATTTTACCCATATCAGTGAACAAGATTTTGTAGCCTTAGTATATGAACTCTATGTTGCTAATAGAAGTTCTTGGTTTTTAAATCACTTGTTTTCCTCCCTTTTTATGTGTTATTTTTGTCAGATGATAAATCTACCATCCTTCTGTTCTTTGGTTGTCTTTAGTTTGTGGTTAAAATCAGACTAGTTGTTATACCTCCCAACTCGTAAAGCATTTTTTCAGGTAACATGGATTTGTTGAACTCGCGGTAGTTTATTTTATGAATTTGTTCATACTATACTGAACATGCATTTGGCTTTTCACTATTTTTCCATGTGGAAATCATATTTGAAATGTTGAAAAAGATTGTTAGAAACCAAACCATTTTGAAGAAAGCTATGCACCTCAACTGGTAAAAATGCTAAACCTTTATTATCTTAGATAAGGACCAATAGTTATGTGTTGGTTCAGGGTGATGACAATAACACTATTAATGGTTCAGGGTGATGACAATGACACTATTGCCTGCATTTATTATAAAATTATCGATCTCGCTATAGAACACTTGGGCATTGGCCAAAGTAAAATCACTAATATATTACATTCTTAATCTATTTCCTTAGAACATTATTCAGTAAAATATGATTACCCATGTGAAATCATCTTTGAAATGTTGAATAAGATTGTTAGAAACCAAACCTTTTTAAAGAAAGCCATGCACCTTAACCAGCAAAAAATACCAAAACCTTTATTTTCTTAAATAAGCTCCAATAGCTATAGTGTTAGTTTGTTGTAATGACAACCACACTATTAGCTACATTTATTATAAAATTATTGGACTCGCTATGGAACACCTTTTGTTATTAAATTTAAATGAAAATTTGATTCTTAATAAGACACAATAGAGAAAAAAGATTCATTTAGCCGACCCCACGCAGTGGGTTAAAGGCTTGATGTTGTTGTCGTGTTCTGCTATAGAACACCAGGCATTGGCCAAGGCAAAATGGCTAGTATATAACAATCTTAAGAGCTATTACCTTGAAAATTTTGGTAGAATATGACTTTCTAACTTCATGCTTGATGGCTTTCACATTTAAGGCTTTTTTTTTAATTAGAAGACTAAACTTTAACCATGTTTAGACATTTATAGGAAAATGTGTGCTATATATGTTGAAGTTCATTGTTTTTATGCGTTTTTAGATAAATGCATATTATTTGTTTTGTCAAAATTAGCATTGATTGTGAACTCTTAAGGTCAACTGGAAATGACCCAACTTTTAAATTTGTTCATCTAATTAATGTTAAATGAGCATTTGGATACATGTTCATAATTTACTATCAGGGCTCTAATACAGACGCCTCTTTGGTACCTCGACCTCTACCTTGAAAGCGACCAAAAGTGTTCGGATCGTAACTTTTGGTTACAATGTTCTTCACCTCAGATTCGTTTCATAAAGTTAATAGACTTTACATTCTGAGAATTTATAAAATAACTATATTTAGCATGAAAGAATACTCCTAGTTTGAATGATTGGGTATATTTCTGAATATTTTCATACTAATGCGTAGCAAGAGAACAGGACAAAGTATCCGAAAGCAAATTAGTTTCCTAAGTGGATGAAAATCTCGTGTTTTGCAGGGGTCACAACGATCGCTGGGGGAAAGTGGAACAGAGGGGGGCATACGGATGGGCCAAGTGAAGATGCAAAATTTTCAAACGATTTCGAAGTTGTTTACATTGGCAGTAGCTGCTCGCTACTGGTTGTAGATAGAGGAAATCAGGCAATCCGTGAAATCCAACTTCATTTTGATGATTGTGCTTACCAGTATGAAACTAGTTTTCCATTAGGTAGCTGATGCAGCACAATTTCTCCATTATCTCCATTCAAATTATTTTACCTATCCTGGGACTGAATTGCCTCAGATTTTCATTTCTATTGCAGGTGTTGCAGTGCTCTTCGCTGCCGTTTTCTTTGGTTACATGCTTGCTTTACTTCAACGACGCGTAGGAGGGATGTTATCTCCAGAAGATGTAAGTTTCCTTTTCACCATATGAAAATAGTTGGTTAATTAAATTTTTTTCACTATATCATTCTGATATCACCTCAATTATTTACAAGTAAAAGTTGGTTCAACTGCACTGTAGAGGCTGCATACTATACTGTTAGAATGCTACTTTGTAAGATTGTAAGGATTGTCAAACTAAATTATCTAGCATTTCCACAGGAACCTGTTATCCCTATGAAGACCAACATCCCCCCTCCATACCAAAAGCCCATGAGGGGTTCAGTGAGACCACCACTGATTCCTAATAAGAATGAGCCGGATAAACAAGAAGAAGAAGAAGAAGGCTTCTTCGTCTCAAATGTGAAGCTTCTATCTGGCGCCAAATCTTCTTTAGCTGATATCTTTGGAATGATTTTCAGAAGGAAGCCACAGAAGAAGCATCACCAAAATTCTCCTCAACAATGGCAGCATAACTCATGGCCAGTGCAGGAGAGCTTTGTCATTCCTGATGAAGACGAGCCACCACCTGCCGAGACGAAGACGCCGACACCTCGGAAAGCCTATGCCTTCATGTCTCAGGACCCTGAGAAGATCCACCATCTTCGGCAAGGCCAGACTTACTTCAACAACTGGGATGGGAAAATGCTTCTTCATCAACAGAAGTACCAACTGCAACAGCAGCCTCAGCAGCAGCAGCAGCAGGTGCATCAGCATCGACAATATTCTTTGGGTCCTCAAACTTTCTATGAGCAAAACTGTGAAAAAACAAATGAGATTGTGTTCGGAGCTGTTCAAGAAGATAGGAAGCGGAGGACAATGGAGATTAAAGCAATAAATTACGGTGAAACATACTATGATCAGTGTGGGATACGCTCCAGGATTGGTTGCAGTGATTTTAGTAACGGCTACTGAACATCTTTTTTCTTCACGAATACATTGCCTTGTATGATAAATCAAGCCTTCATTCCTTAGTTATTACTTGAGCTTCTTTAATATCTCTTGTTTCTTGTGTCCTTTGAGGTTGTGTTTGGATGCTTGGAATTTGAGTAATAGTAAATGAAAAAAGGGGGTTGACATGCGTAAATCAATCAATAAATATTGGTAATTTGTTTCATTTTCTTCAATTTTTAGTGTCCAAACAGAGCCTTGAAGTTCAGAGATTATATGAACATGAAGGATTTCTGCTTAAGAGTTTATTGATCTATTGATCACTGCATGGAAGTTATTCATTTTGTTGCCTCAATAACCCTTATGTTGTGACATTTTTAATAACATCCCAACATCATCATGTCATCCTTCAAAAGATTAGCAACATGCCAGCAATATTTGCAGTAGGGGTATTAATATTTGACACGACCTAAAAATCCGACCTGAAAACTCGATCTGAAAATTTCGGGTTCGGGGTTAGGGATTTCGACCTGTTTGTAAAATCAGATTGAGTTCAGGTTGATCCAAAAATTCGAAATTATCTTGGTGTGACCCGTTTTTAATTAATTTAAAAGGGTTTTAAAAGATTGTATGAAATAAGTAAATATTATTTTCAAAAAATAATAAATCATATTGCGCAAATTGAATTAAGCTTGGTTTATTTTAAACTGATTGAAGTAAATTTTATCATTTAAGCAAATTGAATTAAATAAAAAAAAATCAGTGAAAATATGCTCGAAGCTGGTTGGGTTTAAAAAATCAACCCGTTTGCTAAACGGGTCGGGTCGAACAGTGCCGGGTCAATTCTAGGATTGACCCGAATCCGATCTGTGACCCGATTTTAATAGCTCTAATTTGGAGCATCACAAAAATTACAGGCACTAATAAATTAAGTCTTTTTCTTTTTTTTTTACACAAATAAAATATATCAAAATTATGAATAAAATTGACTCAATTATTTATTTTATAGTTTTCTATAAATAATTATAGATATGTTTTGTCTTAATCAATATTTTTCTTACATATACATTCACAATATCGATTCTAAACTAATAAAAAAATAAGTAATAAATTTAAAAATATATTAAAATATCATTCCCCCTATTTAATTTTTTCACCAACAAAATTATAAAAAATAAAATAGAGAAATTCAAAATTTTGTGAACAAATGTCTCTTAAAGCCCGAAAGTTATGACCAACTAAATTAAATATTTTAACTCATTTAAGGATCTAATACTTAGGAAAGAAAATAAAGAACAAATTGTACAGCTAGCTAACTTGGATTGCCAAAATTTCTTGCACCTTCGTATTCAACTTGCTCAGCCTCCAGCATGCAAGTCGGTGATATTTTTGACTACCGGAGCCTCTCTCGTACTCAGTGAATGTGAATTGACAATGCAAACTAACGCTACGGGAAAACACGCGATTACCGTCGGATTTTCCGGCGGAAAATTGTGATATGTTTTGTCTTCCTTCCGTCGGAAACTACCGGCTCATCTTCCGGCGCCAGTTCCGCCGCCTATTTCCGGCGCCGATTTTGCGCCGCAAACAAAGCCGTGGGTTGTCTACGGCGAACTTGCGGCGTTTTATCCGCCGGTACTTACCGGCGGATAATCCGACAGAAATTTACCGTCGCATATGGCGCCGGAATTTATCGGTTGCAAGTCGTCGGCACCAACCCGATGTTTTACGCCGGTAATCCGTCGGTACGTGCGCCGGAACGTTTTCCGGCTTATTATATTCGTCGGGAAAAATTTACCGACGCGATCGAAACCGGTGTATGAATTTCCGCCGAAACGTGAGTAGGAAACCTAAGGTTCCGTCGGATTATCTATGTGTTCCGACGGATTTAGTCCGTCGGTAATAACGGGTTTTCCTGTAGTGTAATTGCGATCGCGTTCTATCCATATTAGTGCGCTCTATTTGGAACTCCAACGCCTCTGGCAAAGGTGATGGTCAATGTCATCTTAAGCTGAATAATGATGCCAACTTGTCATCTTCTCCGGCGCAGGTAATATCGTCTGGACAAGCTCTTATCAAGGTCCAAATAGCAACTATGTCGTTGAATTCAATGGAGAATGCGACATTGGGATCATAAACCAAACTGTGTGGTCGACTTGCCCCACTGATGTCTGCAAACATTAGTAACCGGAGATTATTAGCTTTGGTTTAATTTGCAATTGAATAAGAAAGTTGTGTGGGCTTATTATATTTTAACCATGGAAGAATAAGAATCATTTGATAATGGCTTTCTCGTTTTCCAAACAAGAGTTTTTTATTTGTTACTGATACGTCAGTCAAAAATTATTTTGATCGGGCACGAATCTCAAGACAAAATCAGTGCGGAAACTTTAAAAATTAAATTTGAGAGCATATGAACTCTGATTTCAGCGAGCTTACAGTCAAACTGAGCGTCTCGGAAATATGAACCCAACAACACCAAGATCAACCTAATCCGAGCCCAAATGAGTCCGAATCAAGGGCTCAAAGCGCTGTTAGAAGATTCAAACCGCAATTTGAGTTACCAAACGGTCTCCGATTTTGACGAGCTTATACTCGAATCGAACGGCTCGACGAGACGAATCCAACGAGCCCATGATCGCCAAATTCCAACATCATTACGTCCTTCAAATACTCAACGAACGGTGCATGATCAAAGGATTCGATATCGGCCGTCCATTCAAACCACTCCTAATTCGCCCATGATCTCACACCTATTTACGGGCTATGCCACTCCAGAAAAACTATAAATAGAGCCCTCATTCTACACAAAGGGGGCTCAAGTGAAGAGAGAGAAGAAGAAGAGGAGAAAGGGGAAAAGGAGATTCCTCACCTCCTCGACCACCGCCGCCGGAGCTCTTCCTGCCGCCTGAAGACGCCGAACTCTGCCGGATTTTCAGGAAACGC